TAATGCATGTCATATTATTATTCCTGACATCTTGGATGTATCATAATCAAATTACTTATCACATTTTAATATTTCGATAGTTTTAAGTACCGTGTGACCAAGGTCGGATAACCTCCTCCTCCTCTTCCTCCTCTTCTTTGCAGCATATTATAGGTACATAATATAATTATTATGAAATGCGAAATTGTTATTGCAAACGCAYGCCATATATTGATATACTAGTGTCGTCGTAAACAAATATTACCTATAATATTATGACGACTTGTCATTGAACTAGGCTGCACTGCACGTTATAAATTAGACGTTATAATCTGTGAACACGATGGATTAACGTTATCTGTGCCAATTTGGCGGCGGCGCCGTCGACGATCAGTCGAGACCCGACTATGGCTCGTTACGCTTTCGTTACGTTCGTTTTGATCTTCGTCGCCGTGGYGCCGCGGCACCGGCACCAAGCGGCCGGCCAGTTGAACGACTTGTCCGCGTCGTACCACTCAGACGTGGCCGACGGATTTAAAACGGCAGCTGCGATGGAGGGTGGGTTCGAGGAGGTGGCCGCGTCGGCGACAAATGACAGTTCTGTGGCCACTAACGGTACGGCGGGCGTGTACAGGTTGCCCGACGGCGTGACGCCCGTGTCGTACGCGCTGCGCGTGGACACCGACCTGGACAGGCTGTCGTACTCGGGCAGCGTGGAGATCACGATCGTCACGTCCGTGACACCCAAGCTCTGCCGGATCGTGCTCAACGCTAAAGACGTCAGGGTGACGGGCGTCCGGGTGACCGACGTGAACACGGGTGTTCCGCTGAACGTCACCGACTGGCAACTGGTTGACGGCGACGAGCAGCTGATCGTCACGGTCGGCGTCCGGTGCTTGATACCCGCCCGACACTACKTGGTCGCCATCGACTTTCAGGCGCCACTCCGGGACGACATGTCTGGCTACTACAGAAGCTCGTATCGGGAGGGAAACGTCACCAAGTATACATAACGATTTTCGCCGATGTTATTTATTCGGGTTTTTGGTGTTCAGTTGTAGGAATTTTAACTACCGTTTCCTGGAATTTTGAGGAACCGTGATTTTAATGCGGGTTTAATATGGGTAGTGATRATATAGACGTCGAGTAGTTCAGGAAACATTTAGTYTGTGAACCATTTAGGGGGAAGGACACGATTGAGAACGTTTTTCCCGGCTAACTTTTATGCAACGTTGCCACATTATTTAAAAATATAAAATATACAATATATATTATATATGTATAATAGATATCAATTACTATATCTCCTTGAGTTCTTGATTACAGAATAAACTTACGTGGAATTGAATTTGATAAATAAAAATAAACACACAAATCATTGCAGTAAATCAATACATTTATCACTTATTTGTCAGCTTTAGGCATTTTTTAAGATTAAAATTAATATTTATTTACAACATATTTTTATTTTTATTTGTCAGTTAATGATTAAAAATTAAAAAAAAATCAAAAATCAAAAGCAAACATGC